GAATTTCCACCATTACTACTACGTCTCTTGTAAAAAAAACTCTTTATTAAAAATAATTCTTTGGTTGTCTTTTCTTTTGACATCAAACTTTAAAACGGAAAAAGAGCCTCAATACATGCGTTTCACATCTCAAAAGCCATTTCATAACTTGCAAATTAAACAGAACCTATTCATTAAATGTTTAATCAATTAATTATTATTCTTACAAAATCCTTATTCAGATTCAGTCTTATTTATTCAAGCCTTTCTTGTGAGGCATTCAGATATCTTTTGTCTAGTAAATGATATTCTTGCTTCAACATGGTCTGAGATCGGTTTTTTGTTGATGAAACGTCGCCGTCTTTGTCGTTCTGTTGCTAATCTTTCTTTTGAGAGGTGCCTCCATTAACATTTTTAAAAGATATTCATTCTGAAATCTTCGTTTAAATATTTATTACCATTAGCAATAATCTTCTCATCTTTATCAGGACATTACGCTCGCTGTGACCTGCTTTTCTTCTGGTCTTTTGGTAACCATCAGAGAATTGTTGAGATAGAGAGTTATCGTTATTTACATGCAGATTAACATCCGTAGGTACCGCTGTTTAAGTCGGTAAAAGCCAAAAGAATTAATTCCTCTCTTTCTTCCTCTTGTACCCAAGGTGAAAGAAAGTGGACGAGGACGACACCACGAAAAACGCTTGTTTCCCCGGTCCACTGACGACTGAACTCTATTTCCACTTTCCAACGCATAGTGTTCGCAAGTGTCTTCCAAAATCTCTACCTATTAAGTGATCAACCTTTTTTTTGGTCGTTCAAACTCAGCGCGAGGCTGACGCGGAGCTCGACCACTATAACAATGCTTATCCTTACTTACCCCAACGTCCTAACCTAGAAAACGAAAACGGACATAACCAAGAAACTTTGAGAACTTTGTTGCGTTAGAGTTACTATATAAAAAACGAATAAACGGTCGGTAGCATAATTCCAAGTTTTTGCATGTTTCTTTATAAGAATTTACACGCGAATTCGCATACAACATTTAAATTCCACAATTCACTAAGCTAAACCCGTTAACCATCACTCTACATTCAGGTGCACAAAATAAAATAATTTTACAGAACCAATTCGTGCTAGTTATTAGCTTAGTACAATTATTCTATGATTGAAGAATATGTTTTAACCAATGTATTTTTGCAAATAAAAGAACAAAGAAGGATTAGAATTTCAACAGCGTGTATTGAGCAGTTTTTTTGAATATATAAAAATGTGCAATGCCATGATATATAATTGTGTGAAAAAAGTTAACAAGATTGTGGTTCTTTAGTGGTCGTTGGTAAGGAAAGCGATTAGGTGCCAGGATGTTGTTAGAAGGCCGGGAGTTGACGGATTTGTTAGGTCTGTTGACCGAGGTTACGGTAGTGACTAGATTGGATTAGTGAAGCCGTGTGGTAGTACGAGTGCGGTGTCGTTGACAGGATTGATCCGTCTATCTTCAGGATGTGATGCTGGGTCTCAGGCTCATCCTTTTGTTTTAGGACAGCAATTGGCTATTGTATTTTAGATTTTTTAGGATTTCTTTTGCGGACCAGATGATGCGCGGAACCCTTTGCAGAAAAACGAATTTTTTTTAATTTTTGAATCTGGTTTCTTAGGACTCATATCCTTTGACATGTCGAGTGAAATGTATTTGTGAACCAGAAAGAGATTAAAGTAACATAACAAACATGACCTATATATCCTTGGCGTCAGCTTAAACTGACAATTTTGTTTTTTTTCCAATATTTAAATAATTATAAATGATAATAGAAGGTGAAAGTTTTACTGAAACATGTTGGAAAACTTTTGAGTTTTCATCTGAACTCAAGAAAATACGAACTTTAAGTAAACTGGTCAAAATATATAAAAAACACAGAAGACGTCAGTTTTAAAACAGCTATTCTCAACATGTTAAAAATTCAAAGCATCCTTCGTTGGTACGCATGCGTAGTCACACCAACGTAACAAATTCAGCCCGATGAATTCCTAATGTATAAAACGCGTCACACCAAATATTTTACACTTTTAAAATTTTAAATGTGAATTAAGTTTAAGTGTCTAATAATTTTTCTTTTTCTTTCACATTTAACAATTTAAAGTCTTTTTGGCAATTTCAACCATGGAAAGATTAACAATCAAACTACGTGTTAAAGTTATCAAAGCCTTTTACGAAATAGACGTTCAAACAGAATTTGAATGAGAAGTTCACATGTTGCATCATCTCTCGAAACAGCGAAGTCCACCACGATCGTGCGACTTGACAACTTTAGATTTCTTCCTTTGGGGTCATCTCAAAAATAAAGGTCTTTGCCAACAAGCCAACAACAATTCAACAGCTGAAGGATGCGATAATAAAGGCATATTTTAAATCGATGAATTAAGTTTAAAACGTCAAATTGTTTTTTCTCTTTGATCCGTCTTTTAACAACCTATATTTTTGAAAGAATCACCATTTTCTAAAATAGAAAATTAAACATCAAACAGCGTGACTCATTGGTAAGTTGTCTACAAATATGTTATCGTATGGAAAATAAACAATCAAATGACGTGTTGAATTTGATTATGAAAATGGGCATTCCAATAGAAATGCATTTCGCATCATCTCTCTGAAACAGTGAAGTCAATTGACCACCATGATTGTGCGACTTGACACCTTTAGATTTCTTCATTTGGGGTCATCTCAAAAGTAAGGTCTATGCCAACAAGCCAACAACAATTGTTGAACGATGCGATAATGTCATATTGGGAGATCGAGAAGCAACTATGCAGAGACGTCATCAAAAAATTTTGACCATCAAGTGGAAGTGTGCCGCCGAAGACATGGCGGATATTTGGCGATATTATTTTTCCCACATATTTGCCATGACAAATAACATGATCCAATAAAGAAAAAAAAAATTTTCACCAATAACACTGATTTATTTACTGCTGACTTTGATCAGTCTTAATGAAACACCCTAAATCTAAAAAAAGAATCGATCCTGGAGCCAATTCTTCTTCTCCTTTTGTTAAAGCATCTAATACTTTTAGAAACAAATACACTTATATGACAAATCCGCCATTTTTTTGCTGAAGTTATCGCCATAGACTTATGATATAGATATCATAACAGACAATTAACCAAACGACTTCATAGTTTTGTCAGACTCGCTATTCGTACTTACATCACTGAGAAAGAAAAACAAGCCCTTAATAGTAAAATTACTAAACAGGATAAATCTAATAAGAAAAAAAGTGTCTTCTGTCGTGTACCAAAAATATCGACAACGTCAAAAATTGAAAAGTTGATACGGCAACAATTGTATAACTTCAAAATGAATATTTTAACTTTGGGAAACCCCTTCAAAGCAACTATAAACTCGTGAATTCAAAGCAAGCAGCAAGAATTATGGAACTAACAGACAAACAACAAAATTAAACACATTATGGAAGAATGCCATCATGGTCTCAGATATTGTCCGAAGAATGAGGCCGGCCTACCAATCATTAGAATAGGATACACATATATCATTCATTAATTTCTAAAGAAAATGAATATCCTCTTGAACGAGCATCATTTCTGAAGTCATATACTGTGAAAAAAAAACATTCTAGGGGATCTTTTCAAGAAGATAGAAATAGAGAGTATACAAATCTACTAAGAAATAGTACAACAAATTATAGCCCTAAATAACTCCGTTCTAGAGGCGAAACTGGGGGGTAATAGAACCAACGGCCAAGAGATTGTTTATAACTCATAAATTTAATAAGGAAAATCTTTGCGTCATCATATGAGCGACAGTGTTGATATGCTATTAAAACAGAACAATCAATCAGTTATTATTGAATATGTGAAAAACCTTCGTGAAGAATTTGTCTCTAGTCTGAAGTGAGCTTATAAATTGGATGTTCAAAAAGGAACACTACGTTTAATTTATGGCGATTCTTCGAAGTCAAGCCGGTCTCTCTTTTCTACGCATTTTTACATTTACTCACCCACGCTTACAGACACGTATGTCTCGTGAGGCATCTGCTTATTTCTTACTGGCCCAATTTCTTTTTCAATCCAAGATAAACAGATCTATCTATCTATCTATCTATCTATCTATCTATCTATCTATCTTTCACAATCTATCTATCTATCTATCTATCTATCTATCTGTTCACATCTACCACTCTATCTATCCCAGTCTGTTCGTATCTCTCTGTCAGAATCTGTTCATATCTATCTATCTAGTTAGCTAGCTAGCTATCTGTCTGTCTGTCAGTTTGTCTGTCTGTCTGTGTCAATCTCTTCCTATCTGTCCATCTTGCTCTATACGTCAAGGATTTTATGACATGCATAGTCAGGATAGAACAAGTAGAAATTATCCTAACAATCCTTGCAGGAGGTTGATATATACCACAAGTTGTAACCCTAAATAATTCCGTTCTAGCGGATAAACTGTTGAGTGATAGAACCAACGACCCAAAGACTTGTTTACTAATGTATTTTTAAAGTATTTTCATAATTAAATAATTGTCCGAGTTTATATGCCGTTAAAACTAACAAACAAACAAGAAACTTCCAGTAACCCTGGAAAGTTTTAGAAGCATTCTAGTAACAGAGGTAACGAGAGGTGAGCCCAAATATCTACAAATATTTCGTACTAATATTTCAAACTTTAACAACACAGGAACTCAGTAATATGGCTGACGGAATGTTGCATTATACGGCGGGCTTCCAGTTTCGAAGCTCTAGCCATCAGGGTTGAGCACAAGAACTAATTCTTATAGCTTTAGGCGACAACCTGCTTAACCTTTGTATCATGCATTTGAGATAGATAGATAGATAGATAGATAGATAGATGGATAGATGAATTATATGAACCGTGTGAGATAGATGGATAGATAGATGATAGATAGATGAATAGATAGATAGATAGATAGATAGATATATGAACCGTGTGAGATAGATAGATAGATGTGAACAAATAGATAGATGGATACATATGAACCGAGTGTCATAGATAGATAGATAGATAGATAGATAGATATGAACCGTGGGAGATAGATGAATAGATGGATAGATGGATAGATAGATGAATAGATAGATATGAATCGATCATGGATAGATAGATAGATGAATAGAAGATAGATAGATAGATGAATGAATATGAACCGTGTGAGATAGATAGATACATAGATAGAATGTGAACACATAGATAGATAGGTAGATGATATGAACCGAGTGTATAGATACATGGATAGATAGATATGAACAGATATAGATAGATAGATGGATAGATGGATAGGATAGATGAACCAGGTGTCATAGATAGATGAATGGATAGATAGATGAATGGATGGATGGATAGATAGATAGATAGATAGATAGATATGGACATATTTAGATAGATAGAACAAATAGATAGATGGGTAGACATGGATATGAACCGAGTGTCATAGATAGATGGATGGATAGATATGAACCGTGGGAGATAGATAGATAGATACATAGATAGATAATATAAACAAATAGATAATAGGTAGATAGATATGAACCGAAAATCATAATAGATAGATATGAACAAGTGTGAGATAGATAAATAGATAGATAGATAGATAGATAGATAGATAGATAGATATTTCAAATTGAGATAGATAGATAGATAATAGATAGATAGATAGATAGATGAATAGATATGAACAAATAGATAATGGTAGATAGATATAAACCGAGTGTCATCTAGATGATAGATAGATAGATCGATAGATAGATAGATGGATATCTTATTTTGTTCGTTTGCTAGCTAAATAAATTTTGAGAGATGTATAATGATGGAATGCCGCTAGATTGACAGCTAGGCCACCTCCTTTTTACAATTGTAAAGGCTGTATGTGACCAAGTTCAAACCTGTGTTTTTCTCTGTCTATTTCAAAGATTAGGTGTCTATGTACCTCTTTACATTATCTGTCGCCATATTTCTTAAAAACACGTCAGTTGGCTCCGTAATCATGTCGTTGGAATGTCGAACTGAAACATTTATTTCATGTATGTTTAAATTTCATCTCAGATATATAGACATATATATATATATACGGTTTTAATATCTGTAGATATGTTCGTGACAATAAAAAAAAATAATGTAAAATAGTGTTGTTATAATTTTTCATCTCACGAAATATAGACGGATACTGAAAGGCCGAAACGTTATAATAAATATGGCAAAAAAGATGAGGAAATTTCGAATAATGTAAATAGCGTACATAATACGTCATCTTTTTTAAATATAACCACATAGAAAAAATTATTCCAGATAATAAATAAAAGATGAAAATAGACAATAGTCCGAATAATGAAATGATGTACATAATACCTCATCTCAAAAATATAGACAATATGAAAGGCCAAATCGTTGCGAATATGGCAAAAAACATGAGGACAATAGTCCGAATAATTTAAATTTAGATTCACTCATCTCAAAATATGAGAAGATACTGAAAGGCTGAAACGTTGTGATAAATATAGCAACAAAGATGAGGGACAATAGTCTGAATAATGTAAATAATGTACATAATATCATCATCTCAAATATATCGTCAAAGAAACATGGCCACAGTGGATAAAGGCGTTGGTTAGATCCAGTAAGAGGACCCAAAACAGGTGAGTTCAATACCCGGTTAAGGCAGTAGACGAACTTGGAGATGGGAATTAACAGGAGGTTACTGATAACTGACATCCATTAAACATGGCACGTGGAACTAGAACAGTCTACCCAGTGACCGAAACAAAGCGTTCAGTTCGATATTCCAACCATACCATTCAAAAGGCCGGACGTACAATGGCCGGCCGCTTTGTGATAAATATGGCGAAAAGATGAGGACTATAGTCCGAATAATGTAAATTTGTAACCAGTTTCTTTTTCGCGCTTCTCGCTTGTAGAACTCCTTCCCAGTTTTACTTGCTTTCCAGTCAACTTTGATCTTCAGAAATTTAATGAAATATCTTTTTTTAAGCAAATCCCCCCAGACAAGGCTGAAGTGCCACTAGCACGCAAGGGGTTACAGAGGGTTGAGTAAGAATAAAGAGACATGTTTTGAGGAAAGGATACAGAGAAGGACGTCTTACAAGCTCAGGGTGTCAGATGTTTATTGACAGTTTTCATTAAAGATTTAAAATAAACCAGAACAGCAAATAAGAGGAGGTGTTCCGCATCACGGAAGTGAGAGAAGAAGCTGTTTGAGTAGAAGACGGTTACATTTAACCGTTTTGACAGTGAAAGGGTTGGACCAAGATGTCTTCTGCCTGGAAGCTCCTTAAATTTAAAAGTCTGGGTAACCAGCGAATGTAGCTCGTCGGAAGAGTTAATGTATGAAAATACTTGTAGAAGAGACAGAGGAAGCCACGGCTCGTCAGTGAGAAAGCGACTTTAGAAACCTGTAAAAAAATTTCCTATAACACAAGTATATTCTGATCTCTGGATTTTGTTGAAGACCCTATGACGTACAGCGGGGAATATCCAAGATAACTGATATGACAGTAATATTCCATGAAAGAACAGACGGTTGATTTATAAATTTGAAGGATGGACAGACGAGAAAAAAACAACAACTTTGGCATGGAAAGAGAGGCAAGATATGGTAAAGTTATTGATTGATTGCATTACAACTTCAGAAATTGCGATAAAGTTTAACAAATATCACTGAACAAACGGTTTTGCAAATACTGGCAAGATAGAAAGGAAAAGAAAACTCCGGCTTTAAGAATATTACAAAAAGAGATTTGTGAAAAAGATTAAAAGATTAAGAAAGTAATAATAAGTGGATTAAATGGCAAGAAGAAAAAAATAACAATTTGAAGACGATCAAATTGCCAAAGGAAACAGAGATAAAAGATGGGGAGCATTAAGAAAATTGAAATCAACCAAAATAGCATTTAAAAAGATATATATATATAAACGAAGAAAGAGTCAAGTTGAAAATATTCTAAATTTTTCTATTAAAAACAGATATTTAATATCAATCAACAGGGTAGATTCCATTTAAATATAAGTATATAGTAAATTTTTAATGACACTGCTTGGTTAATACTAATCGTATTGAAAAACATATTCCTTTTAATATATATTTAAATATATATATATATATATATATATATATATATATATATATATATATATATCCACTATTTATATTTTATTAAATATATATATATGTGTGTGTGTGTATATGTGTGTGTGTGTGTGTGTTTGTGTCATTATATTGATAAAATAAAATCAGAGCTGATTATATTTTTATTATATGCATATATTAACCAACTGCATATACACACTTCTCTTCATTTTTATTTAACATGTGAAAAACCTAGGACTACGGAATTTACGGTTAAATCCACACAAAGCGGTCAGTGGACTGACTGAATCGGGGAGCCGAGTTCGAATTGAGACTGATTGTAATCCTCGTGCTACATTACCTTTTTCAAGAACTATATTTATTTTCATTTGCTCGCTTTTCACAATTGAACCCTTGAAGGTATGCTTGCAGCAATTAAATTCTGTTAACGCAATCTAAATTGTTAATTTCCATGTTAAGGAGAAATATCCAAACGACTCATTCTGATGACGCGTAGCCCATCTGAACTGTGATTGATTTGAAAACCATTGGGTAACGATCCAAGATGTATTAAAAATCAGGTATTTACAGATTTTGTCTTCCGTACTATAAAAGTATTTTTAAATATTAAAATTAGAAAAGAATCAAGCCCGGAGATTTTAAATCCGAGGTGGCTTCTGTCCACAATTCGGTATATATAATAAGCCGGTGGTCAGTGATTTTCACCTTAAAAAAACTGAACGGTGATCACCCATTTTCAAATGCATCCAGAGGGTAGTTTCGCGGCCAATTAGGGGAAAGCAAGGTTGCCTTTGATATTCAAGAAACTATTTCGTCTGAAAGAAAAAAATTGAAGCTTCCCTCAGTAAAGTGATTTCAATAATTCACGGTGTTGCTGATAACAGTATATGGAAATTAAAGGTATCGACAGGGTTTTATTTATTTACCCTTTTGCTGATTTATACTTTATATATATTTTTATAATTTTGTATATATAAATTATATATATATATATTTGGCAAATAAGGCCATCATTTCCTTCACCCTATCTTCTCTTATGTCACGGTGGGATAAGGTCGTATGAAATAAATAAAACGAGGTCGAAAATCAGCTAAAATAAAATCCCATAAAAATATCAAATTGGTTATCCCTCCTCCCCTATTTTTTGCTCTTGCTGTGGGATATGACAAATTTTTTTGCTGTTCTTGACGGACATTAATTCATTCACCTTTTTAGATAAATTAGAATAGACCATATATATTGCAAATAAAATGTAAAATATATACTAAATATATATCGTTTTCTCATCTGTATAAATATATATATAAGAACAATTATTTTTATCTTTTATATATATATAAATATCAAATGTTTGTGTACATTGTGTTAGTCAGATATTGTTTATTTGTTTGCTGACACTTTTCAGATGATTTTACTAATTTCTTTTGACGAATTTCTTTGAGGGCCTCTTTTTGACCACGGGTGACAGTCCAAAACCCCACTACTCCTATCCAAATAACTCTCAGCAACGTTTTGAATCGTTCTTGGATATAGCGTATCACAAAGTGAGTACACCCTTATTTTCTTCAAATATTAAGCATATCTCTTCATGGGACAACACTGAAAAAAATGACACATTGACACAATGAAAAGTAGCCTGTCTGCAGCATATATAACAGAGTTAATTTATTTTCCTCAAAATAACCTTCAAAAATATAGCCAATAAAAGCCAAATCCCTGGCAACAAAAGTGAGTACTACCCTTAGGAAAAGTTGTCAATATTAACATACAACATATCAACTGTCAATATTTTGTGTGGCCACCATCATTATCCAAAACTGCCTTTAATCTCCTGGGCATGGAGTTTACCAGAGCTTCACAGTCAATGGAATGCTCTTCCACGCCTCAATGACGACGTCGCGGAGCTGGCGGATATTTGAGACTCTGTGCACCTCCCCTTCTGCTTGAGGATGGCCCAAAAGATGTTCTATTGGGTTCAAGTCTGGAGACATGTTGGCCAGTCATCACCTTTACCTTCAGCCTCTTCAGTAAAAGCAGTGGTTGTCTTGGATGTGTGTTTGGGTCATTGTCATGCTAGAACACTGCTCTGCGACCCAGTTTCTGGAGGGATCATTTCACAGTACATGTTGGAGTTCATGTTTCCCTCAATGAAATGTAACTCTCCAACACCTGCAACACTCATAGCAGCCCCAGAACATGACATTCCCACCACCATGCTGACTGTAGGGCAGCATGGCACATTTATCTTTGCACTCCTCACCTGGTCGCCGCCACACATGCTTAAGGCCATCAGAACCAAACAAATTAAATTTCGTCTCATCAGACCATGGGACATGGTTCCAGTAATCTATATTTTTGTTGACATATCTTCAGCAAACTGTTTGCGGGCTTTCTTGTGTATTGCCTTCAAGAGGCTTCCTCCTGGGTGACAGCCATACACACCAATTTGATATGATGTGCGGCGTATGGTCCTGAACACTAACAGTCTGAATCCCATCTCTTTAATCTCTGCAGCAATGCTAACAGCACTCCACGATTCTTTCAAAAGCATTTGGATGTGACGCTTCAGCACGCGCTCAGCTTCTTTGGACGACCTACCTGAGGCCTGTTCTGAGTGGACACTGCCTTTTAAAATGCTGGATAATCTTAGCCACTGTTCTGCAGCTCTAGATTCAGTGTTGGCAATCTTCTTGTAGCCTTGGTCATCGTTATGTAGTGCAACAATACGTTTTAAAGATCCTCAAGAGTTCTTTGCCATGTGGTGCCATATTTGAACTTTCAATGACCGGTAAGAGAGAGTGTTGAGCTGCACCACAAATTTGACACACCTGCTCCTCCATGAACACATGGTCATGGATTACTAATGAGTCACATGACATTTTGGAGGAAAAATGAAAAAGCAGTACTCCAATTTAGACATTTAAATTTACAGTTTCTTGGGGTGTACTCACTTTTTAGGGGTGTAGTTTTCTTAGTGTACTCACTTTTGTTGCCAGGATTTAGCTTTAATGGCGATTTTTTATTATTTTGAGGGAAAAGAAATAACTCTATTATATATGCTGCAGACAGACTACTTTTCATTTTGTCAAAAGGTAATTTTTCAGTGCTGTCCCATGAAGAGATATACTTAAATATAAATGGTTTATGTAGCTGAATAGTTTAGATATCTCTGAACGAGTTGGGATACTATATGACATCATAGAGAGTCTCAGATCTGACAAAGCTATTTTAAGAACATGACTTAAGTCCTTAGGGTTAATATTTTTCTTTTGAAGTAACTGAATGAATTGGACACTATGCATGACATCCCTATGAGAGTCTCAGATCTGACAAAGCTATTTTAAGAACATGACTTGAGTCCTTAGGTTAATATTTTTCTTTTGAATTAACTTACAGTGTTTGGTAAAAACTACCGAGCAGCATTTATATTTTGTTTAATTTTCTACAGGTGGCCTGATGATTGCATGTAGCATGAAAACAGTCTGTCGTGTTGACTTCTATGTTCACTTTTATATTTACACACGCTCTATCTTTGATATATTGAGCACTTATCCCATAAATATACCACATCTTAAGACTATATTTCTTCACACACACACACACACACACACACACACACACACACACACACACATATATATATATATATATATATATATATATATATATATATATTTAAAAATGGACAAAGTCCGACAATTTATTAAAGACATTTTATGTTTAACGTTCTTTTATAGATACAAGTATTTTTAGTAAATTCAGGCTGGTAATGTTATTTATTTTGTTTATTATAAACAGACCATTTAATAATATATATATATATATATATATATATATATATATATATATATATGTCTGTTTAATCACTTCAAATCAAGCAAGGCGATAACGTCGCCAAGACGCAGGAAGCGACTGCGAGAGAAAAAGAATGAAAAACTTTAGATAGAACCGAAATCAATTCTAAACGGAAAAAGTTATATAGGCGAACCTATCTACTCCCATTGTGTGTATATTTCTTTTTTCTTTTTTATTTCTTTCTGTCATCTCTCTCTCCTCCTCTCTCTATATATATATATATATATGGTGCAAATGTATGACAAAATGTAAAAATTTACTTTTGATGTGATTTGTCCTTCACGATATCATTGGGTAAATTTGAGACGACGCAGAGTCTTGTTGGTATGTATTATTGACCATCCTTGCTCACGTTCTCTATCAAACGCCTCCTAACTCTCCTTAATCACAGTATTAAGTCTTGAGGAAAAATAGGAGATATGAGATCTGCTCGTTGCCCACAACGCCCAGGAATGATCACAGTTCCGGAAAACCTCGACGTTCTCAGGGTCTCTGCAGGAAGCATCTGTCATTCGTTAGGCTGATATTTTGTCTTCTGATCAAATTTTCTCTTATTAGATAAAATAAAACGAAGCATTCTCAAATGGTCAACTTTTGTCTTTACAAACGTAGGATTGGTCTTTTCCACATCAAATATGTCTTCTATCAAAGCTCTTCAAAGAAATAATGAAATATATGTATCAACTGATCGGGCGATGTGAGTCAGTGTCAATATTGCTCTAGGGGAATTTTCTCCAACACCACAAGGTGTTACTAAACCAAAAATTATTAACTTGAAAAATAGATTAATGTCCAAAATAACCTCGTCATATGTAGTGCCTCATATAGATATCACAACTTGTTCAGAAATGTTTAAACTATCCTCGATATATTTCCGTTGTCTAAGATCATTGATTAAAAGTAAAATGAATGATCTAGGGTTTTGAAGATGACAATCCTTCGTAGATCTTATAGACTGGTGTTGCAGAGCCACAAAGCATTACCAAATATTAAAAGCTTTACCATTTCCCACATCACTATTATAAATTTAATATAGGAAATAAGAAACTGAATAAATACCATTCACTTTTTGAAATCCTTACTTCCTTATGAAATGCTATTCATAAAAATTCATCGTAATGGAATTAATAAATTCTAAAGACTTCCAAATATTTCTTAGTATGGATCAGTTCTAAGAAATTTAATATATGAAAATAAAAGAAAATTGAACAAAATATAAATTCTCCTCCGGGTAGTTTTTTACCAAACACTGCAAGTTACTTCAAAAGAAAAATATTAACCTAAGGACTCAAGTCATGTTCTTAAAATAGCTTTGTCAGATCTGAGACTCTCATAGGGGATCATTGCATAGTGTCCAACTCATTCAGAGATATCTAAACTATTCAGCTACATACAACTATTTTCTCACCAATGATTAAATTAGCTAAATGAACCCTGTGGGTTTTTTAGAGGACCATCTTTCATCAAGTCTTGCTACAGAATCACAAAGAAAGAACTGCAAAATAACAGAAACCACATCAGTTGCAATATTTCAACATTGGCAAAATAATTAAAATAGATATCACATGTAACTTAAAGAGAAAATACTAGCGTAATCAAGTTGTCAACTTTCTGTACTACCTTAAAATGATTAACAGGAAATCCTCATCATGTTCTAGAAAGAGCAATAACAGATAATGGATTTGAGAAACCTATTTTCTCAAAAACTGTTTTAAGAGAAAGATTTTGTAAATTTTAACTGACAATAATGCTAATGTTCGGTCAGTGTATGCTGAATGTTTCCTTATAAGAAAATAACTAATCTCACTATTACCATTGTAATTGAAAGGATTTTAAATTGAATGAATTATAATTTGAATGAGGTTTTAGAATGTAAATTCTGAATTATTTCTAAATGAAGAAAATTAAAAAAAAGATAAATTCTGCTCTGGGTGATTTTACTGCAAAAGGAAAATATTAACCTGAAGAATCGAGTCATGTTCTTAAGATAGCCTTTGTCAGATCTCAGACTCTCATATGGACGTCATACATGGCGACAACTTATTCAGAAATGTTTAAACTATCAGCTGTATGCAAACGCTTTCTCAGATTATTGATTAAAAAATGGCCTGAGTGAATGAATCCTTCAGGTCTTAAAATGAAATCCTTCATCAGATCTTATAGATTGGCGTTATAGAATCACAGGCAAAGAACTTTTATTAAATATCACAAAAAGCACATCACGTCCAACATCAGTAACAAACAAATTTAATATAGGGTAGAAGGAAAGGAACAAATTCTATTTACTCGAAATCCTTACATCTTATGAAATACTGTTTTTGAACAATACGCTGGGAAAGGCATAACCATATCCATCTTTGTGCTTCCAGCTATGGGTTCAATAGTAAGCCATTCAGTGTTCTCTGTTCTTATGGTGAAGTCTAGAAGAGGAAATCTGAACGAAGGTCGAGAAAGGCATTCGCTGTAGATGAATTTTGAAAAGGTTGCAGAGAAGGTGCATTGACGCATGTGATTACTTAATCTAATATTTAGCAATAAAAAAAAAGAAAAAGAAAGAACGTTCGTTGCCCTTTATTTTGGGATGACGTTGATAAATTCTTCTCTCGGAAGATAGACTTGAGGCAACCAGTTCTGGAGAAGGTAACAGAAAACCATTCTATTGGCTTTCCAAAAAAAAGGCATATCAATTCACAAATAATAAATAAAATGATATCTAGGGATTCATGATTATTTGCATCGCGAATGGACATGGCATTAAAATAAAATAAAACTTACCACCGATGCTTAATGATAATAGAAAAAGATGTTGTCTTGGCAGAAGAATTTATCGGCGTTAGTGACGGCGAAAATGACCCTATGATTTTTGTCCGGTTTTCAATGTTTATTAGAGTTACATAAGTGCAGGAAAGATCAAAGGATATAGAATGGGGACTGTTTTCTCTGATAATCTTGCAATGTAGAGTAAAACTTCGCCTTTCCTTGTTAACCAACGGCCCTTTCTTACCTTTTAGAAGTAAAAAACTATTTCATCTCATCAGCAGGAAAAAATCCGTACATTAATTCATCGATTCTTATGTTTTATTAATATTTACTTATTACACGATACAAGAGCCACTCAAGGTAGAATGATGTTGTCTGAGCTTAAGAAGGGAGGTGAGAAGGCAGTTTATGTAGGAGAGATAACGGTTAACTCAAGACTTCAATAGGTTAAGAATACAGTGTTCAGGAAAACGTCCTCTGGAGTCAGTTCCACAAAGTATTAGGTTGGTGCATAATTATCAAGCGCCAGTAGGCGAGTTATTTGTTAATAAAATTGCTTTTGTTTTTTACTTTTTTAAATAAAAATATTTTATATTCAGATTATAAAAAATACGTGTCGTTAATCATTTAAAAATGCTATTGTTGAATTGTTATGTTCCTTTCTTCATAAATATTGCTTTAAAAAATGCCTGATAATTATGCACCAACTAATAGCAGCCCTTGGAAAAAAAAAGCTGTCCGGGTGAAACTTTGTTCTTTCTAATGGGTACGAAAAGATGATTCGATCCCTGTGTACGTGGCCTGGCGAGTCCGAAAAGAACTGAACTGGTGGAACTAAGAATAACGCTCGTCAGAACATTTTGCCATGGAAATAGCGATAGAGAAGGAGACGCTTGCAATGTATCGTCCGTTGGGAAGGGATTGTAGGGTTGGAAACATTTCATCACTCTACAAGGTGGCGTGGGCGCTAAGAATTCTAAGGAAGACATCAAGTGAAGAGGTGCAGCTCAGATCAGATATAGTATCCGTACTTCATTTTCGGTCTGAATACATTATGGGACCAGTAATACAGATAACTAGAGAAGAACAGAAATAAATAAGAAATTGTGGCTAATGAGCTCTGCAAAAATGATACTGACATTACGTTTATAAGCTGCAAAATCCATTCATGATTTTCCAATGGTGAGCATTGATTGAGTGATCCAAAAATTGCTTTGTTCAAAGGTATTTGTGAGTTCAATAACCGTACAGCAGAAGGAACGAA